AGATTCTGAGAAGAATCAGGTTGAGTCTGTACAACAATCTAGGGAGTACTGCCATCTTAACAATAGTGAGTGTTCCAATCCATGAACATGGGGTATCTTTCCAATTTATATAGGTCTTTAAAATTCTCAATGTTTTACACTTTCCAGAGCATAAGCATAAGCACTTCTTTTGTTCAATTTATGCCTAAGTATTTTATTCTTCTTGATGCTTTTCCTTCTAGGAAATATTGGTATTTTTAGCTCCTTTTCCTATTGGGATATAAATATTTTTATTGATTTGTAGGACTTCTTTAAGGATAACAAATCACTCATGAATACATTTAAAAAAATAAGTATTTTGCCTGCCTTTTTGAGTTATGGTGTTTTTTGGTGCTGCCAGTTCTTTTTTTATATCAAATAGGCATAATTCTAGAAAAAGGAACAGTTTACGTTGCAACAAGATTGCACAGTTTTATAAATGTAATGATAGCCTAGGTTCATAAGAACATTGTTGGTGAGCAGACAATGTAAAATTGAGCAGTTCTGTATATTAGAAAGTTCTAGATTATCAGCAGTAGACCTGATGTCTGACATCAGCTCACTTCTCAATTCTCTAAGTTTCTATCCTTTGCAAAATCTGGGAAAGTTTCATTCTTTCGAAAAGTACTTTTTAAAATATTTTTTTCAGCCTCATGTTCTCCTCCTCCTTTGGGGATTCTGATTATAAGAACATTAGAGTTTTTGTTAGAGCCCCACAGGTCCCTGAGGCTTTTTTTTTTTTTTTCAGTCTGTTTTCTCTTGTTCAAGTTAGGTAATTTCTGAATTGTTCTATCTTCAAGCTCACTGGTTCTTTTTTCTGACCACTCCATTCCTCTGTTGAGCTCATCTATTGAGTTTTTAATTGTCATTATCAGAGTTTTTCAGCTCTAAAATTTCCATTTGCTCCTTGTTTTTAGCTTCTGTATGTTTGTTGAGAATTTGTTTTTCATTTGTTTCAAGTAATTGCTTGGTGAAAAATTTTTGTAATGGCTGCTTTCAATTCCTCATCAGATAATCCAACTTCTGTGTGTTGGTGTTGGCATCTGTTGATTGTCTCTTTTCACTCAACAGAGATTTTCCTGGTTCTTAGTATAAGAAGTAATCTTCAATTGCATTGTATTATGTTATGGGACTCTGGATCTTTTTTAAATTTCTGTGTCAGTAGGCCTCCTCTGATACCATACCAGAGCTACGACAGTGGGGGAAGAAGGATGCTGCTCCATTATTTCCAGATGGGGTTAGATGTCTGGGTTTTCCACTTGGCCCCCACTGACTTTTGGGAGACCAGGGAGAGGAATGCCTCATTGCCAGGAGATGGTGAAAGTTTAGGTGCTCTACAAGGTTTCTGCTGATACCATCCTGGCTGAGAAGGGAAGGGATGCCACATTACTGCTCTTCGCATGGACTTCGTTGACACAGTGTGGGGTAGGGAGGGTGAAGGGAGAGAGGGAGGCTTGTTACTTCTGAATGGTGGTTAGAACCCCAGCTTCCCTGTTGGTTCTTTTTTCTTTCTTTCTTTTCTTTCCCTTCCTTCCTTCTTTCTCTTTCTCTCTCTCTCTCAAAGATTTTATTTATTTATTAATGAGAGAAACAGAGACATAGGCAGAGGGAGAAGCAGGCTCCTTAAAGGGAGCCCGGTGTGGGACTTGATCTCGGACTCTGGGCCCACACCCTAAGCCAAAGGCAGATGCTCAACCACTGAGCCCCCCAGCTGTCTTTTCTGACACCATCCTGTCAGGCAGGGGAAGGGATATCTCATTACCACTGGATGAGGGCTGAAGGTTCTCCACATGGCCTTCACTGATGCTTCTGGGAGATGGTGAAAGTGCTGCCTCCCTAGCCGACTCCGTCTGACAGAGCCCTAGCAGAAGGGGAGCACCTTGTTACAGGTGGGTGAGGGTAGAAGTCTAGCTCCCCACTGACCTCCTGCTGATGGAGGTGGGAGTGAAGCTGCAGTTTTTTTCTGTGCTGTTTGCCTGAAGTACTGCAGTTAACATCCAAATGTTTTCTATCTTGCTAGAGATGCCCTGCCTCCCTTTTCCCAGTCCTTTTGTTTTTCTTGGGCCTTCTGATGGAGTCCATTGGTGTTTCCTGGCTGCTGACTTTTCCAGCACCTTCTCTGGGATATGTGAGGCTAAAAGAAAACCCAAGCGCCTCACTGCCGTGTTCTTCCTCTGGGCATGAGGGCTCTAAGCAGCCTGCTTTCGTTTCTTCACCACTCAAAATCTTCTTATGTGTGTTTTATATATACTGTCCAGGGCTTTTAGCTGCACTAAGTGGGAGGAACAGGGAGCAGTACATTCACTCCATCTTGTCTGTAACCATATGGAGTACTTTAAAATTTCCTCTTACGTAGTGATCATTAATGTGTCTTGCAGTTTTCACAATGGGTTAATAAAACTTCATTAGCTTCCATATTCTTAGTCTTTAATGGAGCAAAAGTATATGCTTTATAATGCCATCTACTGTTCTGCTCTGTATTCAAAAAGCCTATACACATTTCTAAGTGAAACTTGAGCTTTTGATGGTAAGAGATTTTCCATCACCCGTGAAGACATAAAATGTACTAAAGAGGATACTTCTTGTCACATCAGACTCTGAATTTGCATTACCTTTTTCTATACCAACAATTCTGACTCTCCCATTTGACATGATTAGAGGTCAGTGATTCCAATTTATGAAGAAACTAAGGCTCCAAGAAGGTAAACCACTTCAAAGAGCTGGTTATTTCCATATCCAATAGTAGCAACTTGGTTTTACAATTTAGGATTCTTTCATTATACTGATCCTCTCAAATTTTTGCTACTTATAACTACTACCACTAATATTAACAGTTTCAACTAGGAAAGTTCAACAAAATGTAGAAGTGAATAGGACAGAAATTACCTGTATCATTCGTTAGTTTTGTGTGTTTTGTATGTGCCCAAACAGTATCTTTTATTGTTTTCTATTTTAAAAGAAAACAAAAGAAGTAATATGTGTTCATTAAAGAAAAATTCAAAAGATTTAAAGGACAAAAGGAATTTAAGAACATGAATCACATCAATCACAGTCAGCCGACTGCTAATACTTGGTTGTATATCTTTCCAGAAACTTTTCTCACTTTTCCTATATGTGTTTTATTTTTATTTTTTCTAGTTTTATGGTTTTTTAAACATTTTATTTATTTGAGAGAGAGAGAGCAAGAAAGAGTGAGCAAGCAGGGGGAGGAGCAGAGGGAGAAGGACAAATAGATTCCATGCTGAAGGCAGAGCCCACGGTGGGGCTCGACCCCACGACCCTGAGATCATGACCTGAGCTGAAATTATAAGAGTCCCACACTTAACTGACTGGGCCACCCACCTGCCCCATATGTGTTTTACTTTTTTTTAAAAAAAGAGAGAGGTAAAAGAATACTGTTACACTAATAAACCATATTTATTTAACAATACCCTATTGCTATTGACTTAGGTGGTTTCCAGCTCGCTTTTTCTTATTACAGTACAACTAAAACAAACATGTTTGCTTATTTCCTTAGGCTAAATCTCTAGAGGTGAAAGTGTCAGTGAGAAGGAAAACACATGTCCAGGCTTTTCTGTGAAATTATGCTGCAGAAAAATGTTACATATTTGTTTTCAAAATGGCTCAACGTATTTATTTTTTATGTGAAAATGTACAGAACTCTTTTGAAAGTACTTGGTAGAAAGGGAGGAAACGTGCTATTACATACAAAGAGAGAAAGGGAGACCAAGCAGCTCAGGAGTGCATGGCATGGAGAAATACAAAGGCATCTAGGCTCCCCGTCCCCATGACCAAGCTACGAAGAGATTCCAAAACAGGAAAAGCAAATCTAAACAGACATCGCTTCATTTGTACACAAGGCTTTCTGAGGCACCTGGAGCTCTCCTACCATCATTTAGTATCCTATATATGCACTTCACACACACCCACACACGACACACACATTCGTTTGCTCTAACTACTAACTACTTGCTTTCCTTCATTTTACCTTCATATCTTCCCCACAACACTCCATCCAAATTCCACTCTTCTTATTTGTGGCCCAGCTGGAGCCTCCCACTTTCTAGCCTAAAAAGAACCTTCTTGGACTTCTAGCGCTTATTATTACTAGGAATTAGACATCTAATTGGTCTAGTGGTCCACATCCTTATTTCCCATGCTGGAGCACACACACGACGTCTCACACAGGTGCCACTGCTCTGTCGTGCCTCCCCACTGCCCAGCAGATGGACAGTGTCCACTCGCTGGTGGACTTCAATGTTTCCTAATTCAGATTCAGTCACTCTCTCTAAAGACCGTTGTATCTCTTTTGACATGGAATAAATGAATGCGACTCTTTTGCATTCAACTGTCTTGCTGCCTCAGAATTAGAGAGAATATTTTATTATACTGGGAAATACGTTACGGTTACTTAAGAATAGTTACAATGAACAATTTTTAAAACATACACAATACATTAAAACACGTTGCTGCACGTGAAAAATACTTTGCCATTTAATGACAGCAGCACACACGGCTGTCACACACTGTGAGACAAACAACGGCTCCCTGTGTGGCCTTTGGTCAGGCAAGAGGAATTCCCATCTCACACTTGATAAATGTCACTATGAAGATTTTATACAGTACCACAGAAAGGTGCTATGTACCCACTGATTTCCTTGGGGGACCAAGGCAATACATTGTAAGACATTTTATAAGAGCCATCTTACACTTTAAAATCTAAATCATCTCTGTAAAGGACAACTGATCTAGACATTTGTGCTCCAGATAAATGCATCTTTTAATGTAAAATAAACAGAATAAAAGTTAAGGTGGTCAGAGAGGCTGCACAGATTACTCAACTTCAATTGACCACAGCATATTTACATCACGGCTAAGAAGCTGCTTCGACTTTATTGTTCACGTGTGCACATTTTGAACTCATTCTGTGATATAAAACACTAAACAACGACTATCTTGAATGAGCAGAAAGCAAAGCTTACCTTCACTGCTGGCAGCATGTCCAAGGAGTCCAGTGTGAAGAGCACTAATGCTTGCATCAGCATCATAAATTGATTAAATTGCCATGTCAGACTAAAGAGAAAAGTTGATATGAAAATGGCAAGAAGTGTCAGCCTCTGTAAAAAGAAAACCTTTGTATAATTTCCACGTCTCTAGTAATAAAGAGCCCTGCAGACAAGTTCTCTCAAGAGCAGCCAATATCTCTATAAACCAAATAGAAAAACCATAAACTGTTGCTCTGAAAACCCTTGCATTTGTTATTTAAGCTCTAAATATCCTAAAGTGACACTGGGCATATAAATATTCACATAAGGTATGTGTACTCCACAGTATTATGGAGGCGATAATGCACCAAATCACATCTCAAGGGCAATGGCTTAAGGATTCTGACAGTTCCGCAGAAATTGTGTGTGGGTTTGCTGCAACTATTTGAGGGCAAATTATGTAGAGTACATTTTTAACATCAAAAATGAAAACATTTTCTTTGCAAAGTAGGAAAGGGCTCAGAAGGGGAAAACTTAATTTAACTCAAGTTAAAAAGTCGGTCACGGAATAAGAACTATTCACATGCGCTGAGACACCATGCACATCACATTTTCTGAAGCTTCTTCAACAAAACTGGAGAATTAAAAAACATACGAAGTATCGTAAAAACTTACTTCAGAAAGAGGCTGTAAGTTTGGTCGCAGGAAATATGTAATTGCCGCTATCTGAATTGCAAAGAATGGTAGAGCCCAATTCTCCCTCAGCGGGATGGTAAACTCAACTCTTGTAGTATCTATTCTGCACAGAGAAAACACAAATGGCCAAAGGAGTAATTTTTGCTACCATTACCTGAAAAGATTTCCTAAGATGAAAGATACAGGACATTAAATATGCTTAGATTCCGGTTATCGGTTCTCAACAATAAGGATTTCTCCTTACTGTTATCATTCCTGTAACATCAAATTGCACTGAGAAAATTTAAGGAAACTGTTCACAGGTACACGGCCAGCTAAGGAGTAGGCCTGGGCTCCAAGCCATGGTAGGGTGACTCCAAGACCCAGGAATACGCACTCATGCCTGGCTGCCTCGAACTTTTTTTTTCAAGTTCATTAGTGCAAACTGGCAGCCTGTCACGTTCTCCCTCTCTCTAGTTCTTTGGTGCTTAAATCTGAATATTAAATTTGTCACTGGGAATTTGTAAAAGCTTCTTGTCCGTCTGGAATGTGAACCAACAAGATGGTCAAGTAGAGCTAAGTTTTCACCTTTGTCCACTCAGTACCAAGAAGCATCCCCACACAGATGAGGTATTCAATAAACAGATGTCTTCTACTTCCTCCTAATAGAACAACAAATTTGGCTTTCATGTACTCTTAGCAATAATAATATGCAAAAATGTTAAAAGGCAGCATAATGGTGTTTTCATACTCTGTGTTTGATTTCTGACTGAGACTTAGCTGGGTGAGTGTGTGTGTGTGAACGTATGTATATAAAACTTAACTTTTTAAGCTTTAATTTCATCATCACTCTGGAGTGCCTGGGTGGCTCGGTCAGTTACACATCTGTCTTTGGCTCAGGGTCCTGGGATGGAGCCCTGCACTGGGCTCCTGGCTCAGCAGAGAGTCTGCTTCTCCCCCTGCCCTCCTGCTGTTCACACTCTCTCTCTCAAATAAATAAATAAAATATTCTATTAAAAAATTACTCATCTCTACAGTGGTTATAATATCTATCCTATAGGATTGTTAAAAGAATATATAAAAAAACATTTTGGATTGGGGCAGCCCCGGTGGCTCAGCAGTTTAGCGCCACCTTCAACCCAGGGCGTGGTCCTGGCGACCCAGGATCAAGTCCCGTGTTGGGCTCCCTGCATGGAGCCTGCTTCTCCCTCTGCCTGTGTTTCTGCCCCCCCCCCTCTCTCTGTCTCATGAATAAATAAATAAAATCTTTAAAAAAACAAAAACAAAAACAAACAAACCCAAAAAGCATTTTGGAAAGTGGTTAGCAGTAAGCACTCAATTAGGTCATAATAAAAAGTAGTTTGCTTAGGATTATAAAATAAAATCAATTTAGAACTTAGTGCTGAAGTTTTAAGACTCCTACTCAATGTTTGTGTTGCTCCTGTACATGGGTCAATAATTCAACGTATCCTATGTTTAAAAAAAACAAACCACTATTTTGGGCCACCTGGGTGGCTCAGTCTGTTAAATGTTTGCCTTTGGCTCAGGTCATGATCCCAGGTCCTGGCCCCATGTTGAGCTCTCCCTGCTCAGCTGGGAGCCTGCTTCTCTTTCTCCCTCTGTTCCTCCCCCCTCCCAGGCTCTCACTCTCTCAAATAAATCAATAGAATCTAAAAATAAATAAAAATAAATAAATAAATCAATAGAATCTTTTAAAAAACGCTATTTCATGCTCTAGTATTTAGAATCATAGATATTACCTAAGTAACAGAAGAACTTCCTTGTATTTGTATAGTGCTTTATGCTTTGTTAACTACGAGCCCCACACAACCCTATCAAGACTGATAGTAAAGATACCATGTGGAGCTAGGTGGCCGGAGACATAATGATCACACGTCAAATTGGTAACAGGAATGGAATTATTACAATGATTGTCTCGACTTGTAATTCAATGTTCTGTTCCTCGGCTGGAAATAAATATACAAGTAGGACTGTCTACATTGCTAAATAAGACAAATAAACACGGCTGGGGAAACCAGAGAGAGAACACTCTTATACAGACAAATGTGGCGGAACCACTTCCTCAGAACTGGAAATAAAGCATCTTCACTGTAACTTACATCTTAGAAAGGGAAGAGGGAATAGGGATTCCAACTCACCTATTTGTGACATACCAGAAAGCCGCTAGGAGCCCTGACAGCCACGTACCACTGAGGAGCCAGCTGGTTACGTAAAGCGCTGTGACATAGATCGCCTGCAGTCCAAACAAGGTGTAAATATAAAAATAAACTGGCTCTAAATATTTCTGTAAAAAGGAACAATAAAAAAACATTTGTTATGGAACTCTTAATTACCTTTTCATTGTCACTTAAAAAGTATGACAGTGGAGGGGCGCCTGGCTGGTTCAGTTGCTAAGATCACGTGACTCTTAAATCTCAGGGTCAAGAGTTCAAGCCCCATCTTGTGTGTGGAGTCTACTTTAAAAAAAATTTTAAAAATAGGACAGTGGAAATTTAATATTTAGGAATTGGGTGTTAATTACCAGCAATAAGCCTACATCAGTCCTTTCTATGCAAAAGTGTGCTAGCAGACTTTCTTCCTACTATGACAGTAGAAGAGGGAAGGAAGCCCTTGAAGACTCTGGCTTCATTCTTTAGACAAGGTTTACATTTAACTTTGTCCAGTACTGGCTTATTTACATGAAGTGGTCATTGTGATTTGCTAATTTCCAATTTTTTAATTTCAAAGATAAGGGAGGCATGATTACACGTTTCTAAATGAAAATACCTATCAGCCTCTAGACTGCACGCACGTATTATTGGCCAGGAGGCATCTATAGACACAAAAAATCTTACAAAAACATAAATAGAAAACAAAGTTCACAACGCATCTGGAGAAAATTAGGATTTTGCTGCTTTTCTACCAAGCCAGTTCAAGACTGGAATAACATACGTGAAGGTTTCAACTTTATAATAGCACATTTTGACTTTCATGTGATATTAACAATTCAGTGTCACAGAATACAACATACCTGTATGGGCAGAACTCTATATAAAATACTGAGAAAAACTTCTTGGTAAATATTCATTCGCTGAAGAAGGTTAATTGTCCTCATAGACTCAGTTTTGTTATCATATATTAAGCCATGAAAACCTAAGGTTGAAAGGTTGATATTTGAAAAATCAGGAGAAAATAATTATAAATTACTTGTTCATTTAAAACTATTAACAGATTCTTTAGTGTGTGCCAGAGAATGTGCTATGCACTGGGGACAGAATGGTGAGCAAAAAACACGGTTCCACCCTCAAGGAGCTTACTGTATACTAGATGGACATTTACATGTTTATACAAACATAAGTGAATTGTAGCTTGAGTATGTACGATATAAAAAACACCCATGTGCTCTTCTACAGAAATTTAGGTCGAGGATTTTATATCTCCACTCTGCCCTCTTGCCATGAGACCTATAACTATCCCTTTTGGGGCTGTAAGTAGCCTATGGGTTTGGCCATTTGACTTGTCTGACCAATGGCACGTGAGAGGATGTGACATCTTTTACCAAAACATAATGCCTGTTTCCACCCTTCAGTGTGGCCTTTTCCCTCTGTCATGACAACAGCAGGTTCCAAATAGGGGCTGGATAATAAAAGCAAGAAATAAACCTGTTTTTATAGAATTCCGTTGCTACACTGAGGTCATGTGCCTCTGTAACCAAGCTAAACTAATTAGTAGAAGGTTTGAAGAGACAGTTCATAGAAGAAAATATACGTACAGTCCTTATACATATGAAAAGATACTCAACTTCGCTCCTACTGGAAGTGCAAATTAAAACTACATTGATACCATTTCTCACCTCTCAGCTTGGAAAGGAAATTAAGAAATCTGACAACATCCTCTTTTTTATAGTCCTTATGAAATTAACAGATTTAGGTAATGATCACCAATGGTGCTAACCCATCAGGTGAAAGGCTAATTGAGAACTTATTAATGGATCAGTCTCAACCCTAAAAGAGATAGTACACATCATGTGCCCCCGGTGTGGAAGTGTACATCACCATGCAGGAAGGACTCTTGCTGAAACAGAATCTAGACCTGAGCAAGCCTCTAGATCTAATTACCAATTAATAGGAGATGCAGGCAACAGAGACTCATGAAATGACACCATGGTGCTCCAGCAATATCCAGAAAGTGAAAAACTATCAGACAAATAAATCTGTGTTTTCAACAAAAAATTACAAGAAAAAATATGGAAAGAAATCTATAAATTAAAAGAAACAGCAAGGGGGGGGGGCCTGGCTGGTTTGGTTGACAGAACATGTAACTCTTGATTTTGAAGGTGTGAGTTTGGGCCTCATGGGGGGGGGTGTAGAGATTTAAAAATAAAACCTTGAAACAAAGAAAGAGAGAGAGAGAAAGAAAGAAAAGAATAAAGGGGGAATGCAAGCAAACAATTGCATTGCATGGACTTTATCTGGATCTCAAAAACATTTTTATATATAAAAACTATATTAAAACAAGTTGACTCGTTGAAGTGAACACTGACTTAGCAATACTGAGCCCTGTAGGAAATACAGGGTTTGTTCTTATGCACCTCTGGTCATGCATTTTCATCAACTGATCGACACAAGACCTTGAGTTACGTGTTTCTGTTTAAAGGCACCTTCTTTAATACGTATTAGTGATTCATTAGCGCCGAACACATGGCCAACAGCACTCTAACTCGTGCTTGAACAAAGCTTATCTGACACATGTGTTTTCTCTGAATGCCCTCTTCACAGCCTGCGTGCACTTGGGAACTCCACACAGCACTTTAGCGCTATGCTGGGAGCCATCTGAAGCTGCCAGATCACCAACCAAAAGCACAAAAATGCACAAACCATGGCCCTAGGTAGACTGGAAAAGGACAGTGCGGAATGAGAGCTCAAACGAGATGGCAGTGCATCAGCTTGTCCCACCTCAGCTGGGAACATGCGAGTCAGGTGCCTACCAGTTTCGCTGCTCTGCACAAGCCCGGGAATGACCACAAGAGCACCGCAAACACGGGTTCTGGGGTTATAAGCAGATTTTAGCGAGTAAGTGAATTTGTAAATATGGACTCCGTGAATAATGAGGATCAACTGTCTGGGGAAAGAAAATCAACATCTATCCTGCCTTTGTTGTAAAAATCGTTCCTCAGGGTCATCACACAATTGAGGAGAAAAAAGGTTTCTTAAATAACAGAGTTCCAGCTGACAAATACAAGAGGGAGGCAGAAGGTCACTTTTGTAACTACTGATATAAGGGACAGAAGCAATAAGCATCAACGGCTGCTAAGACCATTAAGTGACAGGCTGAGGGGTAATTAACCTTATTATGGGGGAGCCTGGCTATCTACACAGGAACCAACTGATTAATACTTCTGGTGCAAAAAGAAAGATAACCAACATTTCATGTCTCCCACTGTGATAGAATTAGAAGTGCAAAACATCACCCATGACGGATTCTTGCCAAAAACGTATCCGAATCCAAGCAAAACCTAGCAAATGTCTCTGTCATGTGTGCTCGTGTGGAGCACAGCAAGCACACAGGAAGTAGGAGAGATCCTTTCTGGGGCTTCTATCAGCAGACTCAAGGTAAAAGGTGACCGTATGGGCTCTAAACCACTCACAAGCAGTGAAAATGTGGGAAAGTGGCATCTGCCAAATAAAGGACCGGATGGGGACACCGAGAACAACTGTAATTTTTGTTTGACCAAAGTGCCTCCTGTTTTCAGACAATACTCTTTTCCCTTGCGAAGACCTCTTCCAAACGACCGTGAAAAAAATCAGCAGCAAAACCAAGAAATTGCCAACAGATGAGTTTGGGGATGGAGTTGCCTGGAGGGGAGTTACGGGAGGTCTTGGAGAACTTCTTCCAGAGCAAAACGCTGGTTATGCTAGCAGGAAACACTACACGAGTTTAAAGACAAAGTACACAAGTTCTGTAAAGCATCTGAGATGCTTTAGTGCACAAGTAGGCTTGGCGGAAATAACTGAGAAGGACGAAGCAGGTCCCTGCAAAGCTCTTTGCTGTAATTACCTTGCATGAGCGTTGGAGCCTGCAGCATTTGCTTGTAGTAGGAGTAATACAGTCCACATTCTGTTCTGAATGAGATTTCTCGCTCCACTTCCTGAAATAAAGTTAGGTCTACTGGGTTTACATGACCTCGTTTTGTGTTTTGTTTTGTTTCTTGTTTTTTTAAAACATCTATTGTCACAGCAGAAACAGGATCCAGAACTACAACTTCAAAGGAAAAAAAAAAAAACCCAAAAACCTCTCAAAACATGTCTTATGAAATCTTGGCCATCCAGAACAATAGGAGGCTGGTCATCGTTGAAGCTGGATGGGATTTACAGTTTATATTATGTGATTCTCTCTACTTATGTGGATGTTTAAGATTTTTCCATAACAAACCGTTTTACAAAATGGAGACAACTAGTTCCATTTACGCTGATGTTTCACAGTTAACGATCTTCTTTTATTTCACACAAATTAAAACTTAAAAAAAAAATGCCACCAGTCTTATGTAATACTAGTGAGAATCAAAATAGGGACAGTATAAAAAAAAACTTCTAAATGAAAAGAACTATAATTGCATTAGACACCTACCTAAAAGCTAATGGTATTATATAAGATTAATAATTTGGTTTATTCAAGACTGTAAGGTATTCTTAGTGAAATGGGGCAGACCTTTTACATGTGAATTTTATATTGACAAGGGTCATCTCGTGGAAAGGTGCTCCTGTAGGCAAATGGATACAAGAAATATTAAACTACTTTTAAGTAAGTATTCAATTTTAGAAGAACTGAGAATTTAAAGTGACAGCCACTAGTCAATTTGGTTGTTAAGACGCTTTTATGAAATTTAAAAGTTAAATCATTAACTAAATCTGGAGGCAATTGGTGGTGAGGATGGGGAAGACATTCTGGAATAATCATGTTAATATTCTTAGATACTGTATTTCATATATTTATAAAACAGTATAAATGAATGAAAATGATCATTTCTGTCATTACAGATTCTTTTACCCCAGTGTTCAAAAAGCCAGGCTCTAGAATCTGGCACGCACTGTCTAATGTGTATTTCCATCTCTGTTTTTCCTACCATAGCAGATCCCGCTTCCATAAACCCAACCTTACTGGGAGAAGATGATAAAACACGAAATACAGTATGTTCTATGGGATAAGCTTCTTTTAATATACCTTTGTTATTTTTCCTACCTCCAACTATTTTTCAAACTGTAATAAACATTTCATGAAAAGAACCACTCATGCTATTTACCTTCAGGCCTGAAATTATTTCATGTATTGCTTCTTTTTTTTTTTTTCATGTATTGCTTCTACTGTTTAAATATTTCTCCTATCCTTTAAAAAAAAAGTACCATGAGTTGACTCATGAATGAAGCACTGAAGAAGTACTCGGTTATTTGAGTATAAATACCCAATTATTGACCTTGAGAAACAAACTTATGTTTTATCATTGTTAACTCTTTAAAAAAAAAAAAAAACCTGGAGGGAGGAGCAGAGTAGCAAACCTTACATAATGAGCTGCCTTCCATGGGGAACAGGCTTATCTTGGGGAAATCAAACATGGAAGAAAGGCCCAGCCAGGTTCTGAGGTTTACTTTCATTAGCACGCTTGCTAATAAAAAGGACAACATACAGCAACAGGGCTCTTTTAGCTTTTGCATTTGCTACTGTTTTGTGCTGTATCTTTCACAGTGGTAAAGGCAATTCTTAACAGTCATGTTAATCCATTCATCTTTAATTTCTGAGAAAAACTGCTCTAATGCTTTTCATAACATAAAACTAAACTGGTATCACTTGCTTCTACAATGTTCCCACTCCTACTTGGTCAAGTAGCCACAGAGGCTGTGAATAGACGTTAACTGAGCAAATGTTAGCTTTTGTTCATGCAAATAAGGAAAAAAACCCCCATTAAGTCTAATTACATTCCTTTTCTTCTCTCCAGCTGCCTTAAAGTGTTCAAAGTACGGCTGTCTTCAATGGAATATTCTAATGTCAAACCCGTATCCCCAAATCAAACTAGAGAGCCAGATCAATCATTCACATGAAGGGGGGCTTCATATCCAACGCAGTTCTAAGGATAAAAGAAGACTGACCTCATAAAGATGGGGAATAAAAGGTACAAAGGTAGAAAGCTTTGGTGCTCCACCCCTCTCTTTAATATACCCGGAATGTGTAAAGAACAGAGGGGGTCCTAATTAGTAAAAAAGCATTCAAACATGATTAATTGGTAATCTTGGCACCAGCTGTATGGAACCAAATGCTATACTTTATTAGACAGACACTTGCAAGTTTTACATCTGCTTCATGCTAAGAGAACATCTGCTTTACTCATTCAAACACTTTTCCAGTTTTACAGCAATTTATACTTTGCCTGGTGGATTGTGCCAGTGAAAATGTACACCAATAGAAGTTACCCTCTAAAGAATGCAAAATGAACAAATACTTCATATTTTAATTTGCATCGGTTCCACAGGGAAAGCAATGTTGGGAGAATGAAAACATCTCTTCTGAAGATAATGACAGAAAGAAATAGATGAAAGCATTGTGTCTTTACGGAACCGTACAGCTAAAAAGTAAGTAGTTATATTTAAGTAGTAGTTTATATAGTGCATTAACAGAAGTACTGAAAGGAAAAAGCGTTATAAAAAAATGACTGCTCACAATTAATAATTTGCATCCCCTAGAAACACACAAAACATAACAACCCCTTGTAGACAAATGACATCAAAACCGCCAAAGGAAACCTCTCATTACTTTTTTTTTTTAAATCTCATGTAAGTAACTTCTGTTTACAAAAGCTTCACCCAAAATAACTAGGCTGCTGGTGGCGGGGAAGCCATGGAAAGATTGACTTTATACATGTAATCTGCCTCAGAATTAGGTAACAAATCATCTCACCAAGGAACAGTAGCTCACGATAAGACAGCTGTTCTTGAAGCTTTGTACTGGGAATCATGCCCTTAGCAAACACATTTATGGCGCATACGTGGTTTATGGTCTGGTTAGATTCCTGTCCATCTGTTGGAATGGAATGATTCTTGCCCTAGACTTGATTAATGCCTTGATGGGTGAGAGCTGCCAAGCAGCATGTGGGAGGTTAGACGGCTGCTGAAGAGACCGTGCACCCACTGGGCTCGCACAGAAGCCACCACCAGTCCTGGTACCACCACAGTCCCCGCTTCACGGGTTCACCCTCTTTATTCTAAAGAGTCTTTGCTTACTTAGCAAGAGCATTCAGTGAGAAGATATGCAAAGTCTGTGATACCAAGCAAATGTGACAATAACAGTGAAAATACTACCGTAAATTGTACAAGATTGGTAAAAACTGAGTGACAGGAGTGCTTTTTTAGCCAAATGAGAATGATCTTTCCTTATCACTCAACATTTATTTGCTGGGGAATCAAAGGTGTGAAACTTTGGTCTTTGATCCCAAGGGGTTTATGTTTCAATGAGAAGGAATAATGCATTTTTTAAAAAGGAAAATGACAATTCAAGGAAAGGTATCAATTAGAAGGAAGGAAGAGCCTTTTGCCTGAACTATTAACCCAGCCCCAGTGGATTCTGTGCTTCTCACTGGTCTATTTCCTCTATCTTCCCATTCATTCATTCATTCATTCATTCATTCAACAGACAGATAATGACCAGAAAGTGACAAGCATTCTCCTGCTAGGAGACCCAGCGGGGAACAAAAGAGACACAGATCTCTGTCTTCACAGAATTTATAATGTAGAAGTGAGGGATGAATTTGCTCGTCTGGCAAACAAGCAGAATATGAGAAGTAAGGCAGAGAAGGGGGTGGTGAGGGATGGGTGGTGCTGTGATCTTGCAGGTGAGGGGGTAAGGCCGGATCAACGCAGGGACAACTGAACAGAGATCTGAGGAGGCGAGGCAGTGAGCCACCTGCAGAAGAGCCTGCTCACCAGACAGGGCAGCCAACATACACCCTGGAGAACCACGAGGAAGGCAGTGTGGTCGAGCTGGAGGGAGCAAGGAGGGTCAGGGCACCGGAGGGCTGGGTAGTCTGAGAGGTGACGTGGGCTCAGACACCGGGCGCTGGCAGGTGACAAGGACTGCAGGCTTGTACTCTGAGCTAGGTGTGTGTGCAGGCGTGGAGGGGGGAGGTCAGAGTGTGGCTTCAGACACGCAGAGGCGGGCTGTGAAGGATCCGGAGCAGGAGGGAGCTGCCGCAATAAGCCAGGTGGGGATTAAGGATGTGAGAGGCCATCACGTTCTAGATACCGTGACCTGAGGTTATAAGGTGGGCCTTGGGGACCAGGACCGTGCGAGGGCAGAAACCCCGAGCCACTGGAGGATGAAGCTGCAAGTCACAGAGATGGAGCCACACGGAGGAGCACCGGAGGGCAGGGCCGGTCAGGGGCCTGGGGTGGCGGGTGTTAAGTCCGAAGTGCCCACCGGCCACCAGAACTCAGGCGGCCCAGGAGGTGGGGAATGCAAGTCTGGAGTTGAGGGGAGCGGTGCGGGCAGGGGAGAGACATCTGGGTGCCATCAGCACAGAGACGGTATTTAAAGATTGCTCTCAACGCAGACAGAAGAACAGAGCCAAGTCCCGGGTCCTCTGCCAACGAGAAGTCAGAAGGCTGAGGAGGAGCCTGCAAAGGAGCCAAAGAATCAGCTGCGGAGGTAGGAGTGAATCCAGAACACGTGTCCCGGGGGCAGGGAAAGCCGCAGAGCCCGAGGAAGACGAGGACCGGGCAAGGACCACTAAATCCAGCAACCTGGAGGGCATCGTGACATTAGCCAGAACTTTGTGCCGAAGCCTGACCGGGGTGGGCTCAAGACAGGGCACGGGAAGGGGGGGACAGAGGCTCCCGGCCCACAAACTCTAGGCATCTGCGTGGGAAGAGGAGAACAACGGGACAGTGGCTGAAAGGGAAAGTGGGGCTCTAACAGCCCCCCCCCCCACCTGCCACGGGAGAAGGCAATACAGACCCAACTGCTGGAGTGATGTAATTTGGGAGAAGGCAGGGGAGAGGGTCCACACCCGCGGGGCCAAGTCGGCACACGTCCCCGCAGACGGGGGGTGGGTGCACGAGGAAGGTCTCTTCAGCTTGCTTCCCCTCCTCAGACGACAGGACTCAG